ACTGGGCAACTTAGTGAGTCCCTGTTTCAATTTTGTTTTTTTTAATTTTGTTAAAGCTAGGCATGTAGCTAAGTGGTAGAGTGCTTGCCTAACAAGTGTGCAGCTCTGGGTTTAGTTCTCAGTACCAAAAAAATTAAGAAGTATCAACTATTCACTCCTTTTCTGTTTTGGGGTTTAAAATAAATTTATTTTTTGTGGTGCTGGGGATTGAAGGCAGGGCTAGGTGAGGGCTTTACCACAGAGTTGTGTCCCAACCAAAAGTTGGTTCCTTTTCCTTTTCGTTGCTGGGTTGCACCTCACCTAGCAAAGGCACCATCTCTGTTACATCCACCTATCAGAAGAACTCAGGGGCCAGGGATGTAGCTCAGTGGCACAGTGCCTGCCTGGCAAGTGCAAGGCCCTGAGTTCCATTCCCAGTACAAAAAAAAAGACAAAAAAATGAAAGGACTCTGGTTGGCTCTAGTTTGGGGCAGTTGGGAGTAAACTTGCTGTAAACATTTGTGTGCAGCACTTGGTGTGCACACAGGCTTCTTTTTCCTGGGTAGATGCTGGTGTGGCCCACCCTGTAACCTCTGAGAAGTCCTTCCTTCAGGGCTTTGACATCAGGGGATTTAGAGGTTCTGGAGCAAGCCCTCGGGGTCCGTCCCATCCCCTGCATCTGCTCTGTGCTCCTGAGTTTGCTGCCATGGAAACATGTGATGGGCGCTTTGGCGAGAAACACCAAGGCCCACGCAGCTTGAATGGCAGGAAGTAAGAGTTGGTTGGAGACAAACCTTCCATTGTTCCATGTTCTAGAGACTTGGGGAATTTGTGAGGCAGCTTTCCCCAGCTGGTGGAGCTACCTGCATTTTGGAGGGGTCAGGGTAGGACAGGACGCATCAGGTGGCATCTGCCACCTCTGGGCTGGTGGCCTGTCAGAAAGGCCACCTGTGGGCTGTGAGAGATGGCAGGACAGGGGAAGGCTCTAAGGACAGAGCTGCCTCCTGGGGTAGTGCTCAGCTTCCTGTCTGGATGGCCACCCTCACCTTTCCTGAGGTCCCATGGCAAACTGGCCCAGCCTGGCTGCCCAGAGCAGCTCGTATATCCCCCTCCTTCCTGTACTCCTAGGACTTTTTTTCCCCTTTCTTTTCAAATTAAATATACCTGCTTTGTAAGACTTGCCGTTTTACCCATTTCTAAGTTCACGGTTCGGTGGTATTGCTGTGTAGCCATCACAACCATCCATCCCCAGGTCTCCATCTTCCCTCACTGAACTGCCCATAAATGCTGGCCTGCACCCCAGCCCCTGTCCTGGCCGCCCCACTCCCTGTCTCTGTGCAGTTGTCCTCCTGTGACAGGCTCGTTCCACAGAGTGTCATGTCTCTGGTCCCAGGATTTTCCGGGCCAGAGTTTATCCTGGGTATTCATGGTTCCTTGCCTAGGGGCTCTCAGATCTGGCTTTTGCTCTCAGATCCCTCCCTCTGGAGGTCAGTCTTTTCTTCTCAGCCTGCCACCTCAGGTCACATTTTTGTTTGTGTCCCTGGTGGGAATCCAGGTGTCATCCATCCCCACCCCCATCCCCAGCCCTAGCTGGAGTGAACTTAGCAGCACCCCATCCCCAGGGCCGCTGTTCCCCTCTCCCCGAGTCCGCCTCACATGCTCTCTTTTGCTGCAGGGTTGCTGTTTCGTGGAGGGGTGGTTTTCTGCACCTGACCTGAACCCTGCCATGTCCCAAGGCCTGAAGCTTTGTTGCCTTAAGCAGTTCTTGGGGTGCTGGCAGCCCCGTTTTTGCATTTGTCACCCACCCTGACTTCCCAGCCAAATGACAGCTGTGTGACCACACCTGCCACCTGTGCCTGCCACCTGCACATACCCAATGTGCTCGGCGGTGCCTTGTCTCAGTCTCAGGCCTAGGCCATGTGGGGCACCTCTGAGGGCAGCCAGAAGCCTGTGACCACATGGCCCAGGTCTGAGTGCTGTGAGCTGTCAGGTGACCTATAGGTGTACTTGCCCAGCCATTGTGTCTCCCTCCCACCAAAATTGAGAGGACTTTCCATCATAAACAGGAAATTTCATTCACCTGCAAAAAATGGACTTAGCTCCTTTACTTTGACCCCAGCTTAGGTGTTGGCTAGGAACTGGGCTTGTGGCTGGCATGGGGGCAGGATGGCTCAGGGCCTCCTCTTCCTCCTATCTCTCCCTGTGGTCCCCCACTGGGTGGGGCTTGGGATGTGACCTCAGCTCCCCAGGCACTGTCCCAACTGCCAGCCCAAAGCCAACATGGCTGGTGAGCACAGCCCGCTGGGGCGCCCCTATTCCCAGGAACTCAGTTCTGGCATTGCTGCCTCTCCAGCTGTGTGAATTACGGTTTCAGCTGTGGTGATCTAAGGATAAATAGTCTAACAGGGAGAAGTTGGGCCTCGCCTTTGCTGAGCGAGGAGCCATGCTAGTTCCTGAATCATCGCTTTTGGAGTGCTGACCTGTGTTCGGAGAACCAGCCATAAAGGTGGCCTGGACCTGAGGTCAGCAGGGGAGCAAGCCTGTGGCCCTGGGGCATTGGCCACCTCTCCCACCCCCTGATTCCCTCGTGCTGTTGGCTTTCTCCTTCTGGTTTTCTGCTGACATTTCATTCCCTGGGTGTCCCCTCCCTGCTCTTGGAGCCAGAGTGCCTGCAGGGCCTTGTTCCTTGGAACTGTAGCCTATGATGGTGGCTGGCAGCTGGCATGGGTGACCTGGCACTCGCTTGGCACTCCCACACTTAAACACACAAAGCCTGGGAGTTCTGCCACTCAGACTTAGGTCAGGAGTCCCTGAAAGGCAGATGGAAGTCCGGGCTCCTCTTCCTGATCGGTGGCCTATGTCTCCCTGGGTTCTGGGGCAGGAAAGGGCTACAAATCACAGCTCTGGGCAGGCCACCCTTGCCCAGTAGGTTTGGAACTTTCCTGTTTTAATGATCCGCTTCAACCACCAGGGCTGGCCTCTGACCTCAGCCAGTCCAGATACCTGTCACCCCTGGTTCCTGACCAGTGATTAAGTCCCTGGCCACTCTGGGAACCCTGCTGTTGATGCTGAAGTTGTTTGAGTTTTACAGATGGAGAAAGCATAATTGAGAAGTTAAGAATGTCAAGTCCTAGAATCGAGGTGGAGACTGGAGTTGAGTCTATAGCCGTCTTATTTCAAGATGGGCACTGTGGCTTTAGACTGTGTCAGCTCTGAGGCACACTTGACCCCAGGGTGGCAGCAGGAATGTTGTCTAACCAGGCATAGCATCCCTTCTGAGTAGCCCCTGCAGTGTTGACTGCTTAGTTTAGCACCTTGGGAGTGGCTGCCTCTTGGGGAGCCTGCTGGGACGTATTCTGCATGAAAGGGCTTCTCAGATGGGAGCCACAAGCACCTCCAGGACGGAGAGGTCTGCACTGCCTCCCGCCTGTGACACATTCAGCAGACCTCATGAGAGGGAAGGTGAGGGCTCTTCTGCCTGTGTCAGCTCCTGCAGTCCTTGCTCTCTCTGTCTCCTCAGTCTGGAGAATGCATGTCAGTCCCTGTGTGGTTGGACAGCTGAAACAGGCTGTGCGGGGAGGAAACTCGATATCAGGGCTCTTCCCTTAAAAATGTCTTTGCTGCCTATTCTCTGGAGCCTGACTGCTCTCTGGGAAGCATTTAGTGGTTCCCAGAGGGCCAGCCTATATTTAGGGTGGTCTGGGACTTCTGTGTAGCAAGGGAAGAGCAAGGAGACTGAGCCCAAGGACAAGGTTGCTTGCTCAGATTCACCAAGAGAAGAAATGGCATCTTGAGGGCTGGTACCCAAGCTCCCCAAAGACTATGGGCCATTGTTTTCACATGATTTAAGCTAGATATCTGATCATTTATGAGAAAAGTCACATACCCTGGCGATGTTGAACATCCAGCTTTCATCTTCAAACCCAGTGTGGTTGCTCCATCTCCTACCATTGCATCTGCATCCCAATCCTCAGAAAACCACAAAGGGCACATACACTTTTTATTTTTTCTTTTGCCAGGTGGAAAACACAGTCTTTTTTTGTTTTTGTTTTTTTGTTTGTTTTGAGATGGGGTCTCACTGTGTAGTCCAAGCTGGCCCTGAATTCACTATGAAGCCCAGGCTGGCCTCGAACTTGCAGTGATTCTCCTCCCTCAGCCTCCCAAGTGCTGGGATTACAGGTGTATGCCACCACACTTGGCTGAAAATGCAGTCTTAAGCTGGAGGGCCATGGGTCTAGCCAAAACTAAGTAGTTCTTTTATTATAGGGGAATTCCAATTAGTTCCTCTCACAGATGGCTTGGGTCACTTTCATTGGTTGACCTTGATTTGGCCTTAATTGGTTGGTGGGGAACAGGATAGAATAGGCTTTAGGGTTAGATTTCATCTAGTTCAGCCACTTTGTTTTAGCAAAGTACTTAACACCCCTGAAAAGGAAGTGGTTTGTAGCACTTTGTAGGCTGATTATAGAGCAGAGATCAACAGACTTTTTCTGGAAAGGTCAGAGAGTCAGTATTGTCAGCTGTGCAGACCTCATGGTTTCTGCAGCGACAGCTGAACTCTGCTGCTGTAGACAAAAGCAGCCCTAGACATACAAATGAGTGGCTGTGTTTCAATAAAGCTTTATTTGGGTAAGCAGATGTGGTCCAGATTTGGTACCTGACCTGTAGTGGGCCAACCCCTGTTATAGAAAATAAGTGAAATTCTTGCCAAATAAGGAGCCTGGCATAGAAGTACAAGTGCTACTCTCTGAGGCCACGCAGCTTGCAGCTGGTAGCCCCTACAGCCATCTCTGCTGTACCTCTGAGCCACCTCTCCCTTGCTCAGCCCACCTGGTACCATGGGCTTTGCGACTCCTTTCACATGGCAGATGGGCAAGGGCACCACCATGTTCTACAGAAAGAAGGAAAAGGGGAGACCTGGTGGCCCTGCCCTCAGCCTGTGGTGCTGTTCTGATGAGTGCTTTCTGGGGGTTTGGAAGCTGACCCCTCGTTGCCCAAGCTCACCCCTCTCTTCCCCTCAGGGTATGACTTTGCAGCCGTCCTTGAGTGGTTCGCGGAGCGGGTGGACCGCATCATCCTGCTCTTCGATGCCCACAAGCTGGACATCTCTGATGAGTTCTCTGAAGTCATCAAGGCTCTCAAGAACCATGAGGACAAGATCCGGGTGGTGCTGAACAAGGCTGACCAGATTGAAACGCAGCAGCTGATGCGGGTATACGGGGCCCTCATGTGGTCCCTGGGCAAGATCATCAACACCCCGGAGGTGGTCCGCGTCTACATTGGCTCTTTCTGGTCCCACCCACTGCTCATCCCAGACAATCGGAAGCTCTTTGAGGCTGAGGAACAGGACCTCTTCAAAGATATCCAGTCTCTTCCCCGAAATGCTGCCCTCAGGAAGCTCAATGACCTGATCAAGCGGGCCAGGCTGGCTAAGGTAGATGGAATGGGGCAGGGCCTGGGGATCGGGGACTGGCACTTGGAGCCTGATTTGCCCAAGACCCCTCCCACCAGCTGCTGCACAGCCAGACCTGTGTGGCCATCCCATGTGCAGAAACTGCCTCTTCTATGGGGGCTCACACCCACTACATGGGAGAAGCCTTGAGTGTGCACACAATTTAGAAACCCTAAGCAGGAAGTTGCCAAGGAGGTGGCCCTGGAAATAGTGTGTGGTAGGTTGTGGCTCTGGGCTTCCTGCTTTCCTCTCCAAAGTTTATTGCTGGACATTGGGCACATGTGCAGAGTGACACACACAACCCCATACCGGCACTCTCCATCCTGTGTGGAAAGCAGAAGGCACAAATGAAAAAGAAAACATCAATTTTTTTGTGTGTGTGTGCTGGGGATTGAACTAACATCAAATGTTTATTGCTTGGAAGACCCAGTTGCTACAGAAGTGCGTAGCTGGGGAGGCCTTATGCAGAAGGGAGCTGCTGTTTAAGCTAGGACAGAAAGTAGCTAGAGATGCCGGGTGTGGTGGCACAGGCCTGTGATCCCGGCACTCAGGAGGCTGAGGCAGCAGGATTGCCTGAGTTCAAGGCCAGCCTGGGCTACATAGTGTGTTCAAGGCCAGCATGAACTGCATAGTGAGACACTTTCAAAAGAAAAAAAAGTAGCTAGTGAAGAGATGGGCATCAGCCAGTGGCCTGGAGAGAACGCTGGTTGCTTAAAGCCATAACCCCATGAAGTGGAGTCCATCCAGGCCTTGTAAACTGCCTTTAGCCATGGAGGGTGGGGGAGCTTGGTGCCTGGCCAGGTGAAAGAGAGCTCTGGGTACTGGGGCTGGGGACAAAGGTCAGTGTCACAGAGAGACAGGCACCTTTTTGCTTTCTTTCTTTTTTTTTTTTTTTGGTACCAGGGATCGAACTTGGGTCCTTGCTCTTGCAAGGCAGGCAACAGAACCACTGAGCTAAATCCCCGGCCCAAAAAGGCACCTTTTTAAAATGGCTGACTTTGGGTAGCCACATAAGTCCTGAGGAGGGAGGGCCCAGCACTGCTGGGTTGACACTTTGTGCCAGAAGGTTTGATATAGACCAAGTGAACAACCAAGCAGTAGCCGAGTTGAGACATTTGCCCTTTAACAAGTCGGCCAACTGTTCCCTGAGACACTTAGCACAGAGTTTTAAGACTAGGCTCTAAGCTAGGGGTGGTAATATGTACTTGTGGTCCCACTTATTGGGGAGGCTGAGGCATGGGGATCCCTTGAGTCCAGGAGTTTGTGTCAGCCTGGGTAACATAGTGATGATTCCCCATCTCTGAAAACAAAGCCAGGCTCTGGCTGTGGCTGTCCCCTGAGGCAGATCAAGCTCAGCTTGTGACCACTTTGTCAGCTGAGGCGAGTGTAGGCCACACCATGTGTCACCTATTCTCAGTGAGACACTACAGAGGACAAAGTGTTCACAGCTGCCTGGAGCAACAGAGGAGGGGCAGACACCTTGTGGGTGTTGCAGCTTCAAGGGTAGCTGTGCGAGGACTGAAGAGGGCACTTCCTGTACAGGGATTGCTGCCACTACATTTGTAGCCACTGTCCCCAGAACTCCAAGGCACTGCACGCTGTCTTGAGGCCAGACTTAGGGGTGACCCTTCATCCTTGGCCACCGCTGTCTCCTCTTCCTCAGCACAGAGCTCATGGCTGACAGCCTGGTTCCCCACCCTGGCTGAGCCCCAGTGGGCATCTCCCCATGGCGCTGGGGCTCCACATACCTGCCTGCAGCCTGCATTTGCTCTTGACAGTTTTCCTAGATCACTCCTCTTCAGATACCTGCAGTCTTCCTACAAGTAGGGCCCGGTCTGAGAAAGGAGCTGTGAGTGGGCCCTGAAAGACCTAGAGTGGCAGAGCCCTCTCCCTTGGGGCTGCAGAGGACCCCCCAGTCTGTGGTCTGTGGCCACCGTACCACCCCCCATAGTGTGGAAGTGTCTGGCCCAAAGGCGCACTGAGTCACCATGCCTGGAAAACCCCTAGGTCTCTAGCTTGTCCTACACCTGCCTTTCCATGGCTTCTTCCTGTCTAGGAGTCAGTGACGCTCACTGGGTTCTGCTGGGCAGAGCAGTGACTGGTTGTGACCCGCCTATCACAGCATCCTAGGAAATCCTAGGTGGAGGGGAGTGCTGTCCTCGGGGGGTCCTGAGCCCAGCTGCTGCCCCACTGGTGGGGGGATTGGGTGTGGTGGAACCAGCCTGGGAGGAGGGGGAGCCTGGCTGGCCATGCCTTGGCAGGCCAGAGGTTAGAGGGCTGGGCTGCCGTGGGGGCTAGCTTAGCACGGAGGGGAAATGAAGGGTGGGCCTCCCAGTTGGGAAGTGCCTAAGCAAGGTATGGAAGCTTAGATAAGCTGGACATGCCCGGAGGGCAGTGGAACAGTGCCCTGGCCAGGCTCCTGATCCCTCACAGATTTGAGTCGTCAGAGTCCCACAGATTTGGGACCTTTGTGGGTCTCTGCTGAGTCAGCTTGGCAGGGGCCCTGGACCACCTTTGGGAGCCCTGGGTTCTCATCAGGCTTCTGTGCTTAGTGCCAGGGTCAGGATTCTGAGCCTCCACTAGGGTAAGGCTGAATTCTCCTAACCTGAGGGCTTAGGCAAGGATGAGTGGAGATACCGCCCCACAGCAAGTGGCCTGTTGTTGGCAGGCTGAGCTTTGCTGATCCTAGATCGTCTCCATGACTCATAGAAAGGATGTTGTTGTCTTCTGTTTCTTTCTTCCTTTTTTGTGTGTGGTCGGAATTGAACCCAATGCCTTCACACTGAGCTACATCCCCAGCCCTTTTATATTTTGTGTTGAGACAGAGTCACTAAGTTGCTCAGGCTGGGCTTGAACTCGTGATCCTCCTGCCTCAGCCTCCTAGAGTGCTTAGATTATAGACCCTTCCTACCACTCGAGGCTTCCATCTTCTGTTTCAAGGGTGGTTTCTTTTCCTTTCCTCCTTCCCCGTGGCAGTGAGCTGTGAGCCTTTTGCTAGAATCCTGGGTCCTGTGAGGGCAGCAGCAGCTCTGAACTTGACCCCAGCCCTTTCACTTCCTGAGTCCAGTCAGCAGCAGGCACCCATCCACATCCTCAAAAACAGCAGCTGGGGCTTGTGCCAAGCAAGCCCTTGACACCACCCTGCCCTGTCCCTACAGGTCCACGCCTACATCATCAGCTCCCTCAAGAAGGAGATGCCCAATGTCTTCGGTAAAGAGAGCAAAAAGAAAGAACTGGTGAACAACCTGGGTGAGATCTACCAGAAGATCGAGCGGGAGCATCAGATCTCCCCAGGCGACTTCCCGAGCCTCCGAAAGATGCAGGTACAGCCCTGGAGGGTGTCCCCCGCATCCTGCATGGGCCTGTGGCCTCGAGTCATGAGGAGGGCCCAGGGCACTGGCTCAGGAGGAAATCCCAGCCCCATACTGTGGGCCTCCCCAGACAGCACTGGCTTAGTCACCAGCATCCCACCCGCATCATCCCTGACCCAGGCTGTGACACTGAGAAGGGGAATGTGGTGACTCAGCTGGGGAGATTTGGGCCTGGCACTCCATGTATCCTGTTGGTGAATCTCTGCTACAACCCTGCAAGGAAGGGACTCCTGAGGCCCCAGGCCCTGGGGGAAAGGGAAAAGCTGAGTCGCCCCAGCTGGGGAGTGGAGGAGCAGCCCTCTGCCTGGGGTCTGGGAGAAGCTGCCCACCCAGCCCTCTTTCTCTCCTACTCCCTCAGGAGCTCCTGCAGACCCAGGACTTCAGCAAGTTCCAGGCCCTAAAGCCCAAGCTGCTGGACACGGTGGATGACATGTTGGCCAACGACATCGCGCGGCTGATGGTGATGGTGCGCCAGGAGGAGTCCCAGATGCCCTCCCAGGCTGTGAAGGGCGGCGCTTTTGACGGCACCATGAACGGGCCCTTTGGGCATGGCTATGGCGAGGGTGCCGGTGAGGGCATTGACGACGTTGAGTGGGTGGTAGGCAAGGACAAGCCCACCTATGATGAGATCTTCTATACGCTGTCACCTGTCAATGGCAAGATCACAGGTGCCAATGCCAAGAAGGAGATGGTGAAGTCCAAGCTGCCCAACACCGTGCTGGGCAAGATCTGGAAGCTGGCTGATGTGGACAAGGATGGGCTGCTGGACGATGAGGAGTTTGCCCTGGCTAACCACCTCATCAAGGTCAAGCTGGAGGGCCACGAGCTGCCCGCTGACCTGCCCCCACACCTCATCCCACCCTCCAAGCGCAGGCACGAGTGACAGGCCTGCCAGGGCTACCTATGCAACCCACTCACCGTCTCCATGCCCGCTCAGGAAGACCAGGGCCTGGAGGAAGCAGCTAGGGGAAGGGAAGGGTCACCATTTTTAAAGGTCCATAAAGACTGAGCACTGTTTCCTCAGCTTGAATAGGAGAAGCACCATCTTTCTTTTAAGGCAGTTTCTGGGCCCAGGCCGGGAGGTAGGGGTGAGGCTCAGATGTAAGTGATGGAATTTTATGCACAAGAACTCTGGCTATTTTTAATACATACCATTAGAGGCAGCCTTCTTTCTTGCTGCCTCCTCCTCTGTTGGACAGTTCCACGAACACAGCCTCTCTCCTGTCCCAACCCTTCCTCCTGTGCACTGTCCCTGGCTGGATAGTGTGGGCAGCTGTGGTGATCCTAGGGAGGCTGGTGACTCCTTTGGCGGCTGCCACCAGAGCTGTTGGTAGACCAGAGCCCTCTGTTGGTTCATCTCCTCCATCTCCAAGCTAAGGCTCACCTCACCCCACCCAGCTCTGCCCTGGGCTTGGGGTGAGTCAGTTGTGTGACTCTCCAGCCAGGGTTCCCGACACTCACCCCTGCCCTTTCTTGCACACCCCAACCCCAGCTTCCCACCCAGTAGGGCAGTCAATGCAAGGCCCCACCACCACTGTCTTTTTTTATTTTTGGTGCCGGGGATTGAACTTGGGTCCTTGTGCTTGTGAGGCACACAGTGGAACCACTGAGCTAAATCCCCAGCCCCAACCACTGTCTTTTTTTTCAGGGTTGTGGAGAGGCGAGAGAGCGCATCTTCCAGAAAAATGTATAAGCTAGGTCTTTTGTACAGTGACACCTTTCATACTTGACCAAGTTTTCCAGTAACTTCAAACCACTCATTCAAAAGCTGTGATTTTTGTCTCCCCTTCCCTACATGCCAGCCTGTGGGTGGCTCCATCCAGGAGCTGTTGGATATGGGGTGTATGCATAGCACACCACTTGCAGCCCGGATTTGCTCTCTGACCAAGAAGTAGTCACCTGAACTCCTGCCTGATGGTGTCTGAACTGTAGCCCCCACTTCTCTATGGGAGCTTCCTGATACCCCTGACTTGGGGTCGGTGGTGCGTCCCTGTGACTGGGTGTGGTTTGGGGCTGGCAGAGGAAGATTGTGGATCTGGCCCGGGCCTAGTTTTCAGGCAGCAGGGACCAGGGGAAAACCTGGCCTCTTCCTCTTTCGAACCCCACCCTGCCCCCTGCCTTCCCCCAGCCTGAGCAATAAGCCAGAGCCAGCAAGCAGCCAGTTCAGCAGCCTCACACTGCACAGCCTTGGGGGCCTGGGTGCTTTCTGTGCCAGTGGTCAGCCTCAAGGGCAGGCATTGTGCCAGGGCAGGAGACTAGCCTTGGTCTGTCCAGCGGGAGCTCCAGCTGGGGTCGAGGAATGGCCCTGGCTGCACACAGCCTGCTCCCAGCCCTGCACCGCAGGTTCATTCAGTATTAGGAGAGGATGAGTGGAGACATCCTTTAGTGCGGCAGGGGCTTGTTCACACTCATCTTTGGGGGGAAGGTAATTGAGACTAAAGACTGTTTTCCTTGCATTAAAGAAAGTTTTAACTGTGCTAATGCTGACTCCTGGTGCTCAGTTGTCTTTTCCAGGGCCAAGAGCCAAGAGCCCTCCCCTCTCAGGCCCTGTAGGGGCGCTGGCAGAGCATTTGGGAACCAAGATGCCAGCAGGGGCAGATCGGCAGGGCTGCTAGGGCAAGGTGGTCATCCCTACCCAGTCACGCTGAGCTGTACAGCATCAGCCACCTTCTATTAATATTAACCGGGTCCTGCAGATGGTTATAGGGTAATAGGGGGTCCCCAAGGAACTATAACCCCCCTTATAGGGTGGCTGAGCAAGAGTAGTTTGAGACAAAGCTAAAGCAGTTGGAAAACCCTGATAACTGGGGTCTTCCTGGGCCCGCCTTCTGCAATCAGCGCAGCCTCTCTCCAACTAGGATCCACCCAGCTTGGGGCACACAGGTGGGGATCTACAGGGCCCTTGGCAGCAGGAGGGTTGGTCAGCAAGGGTTTCAGGGCTCTGGAGCCAGCCCGGCTCCATGCTTGCCCCAAGGGGTTTAAAGACAGAGAAGCACTCAAGACACAAAACAGATACTGGCAACAAAATCCACACAGCATGAAGGGGCCTGCAAGGGCCAGCTGATGTCACAGGGAAGAGTGACAGACTGGGAGTGACATCCTCACAAAGGTGCAAATAGAGCCAGGGTATGTGCCCAGTTTATCTCCAGAGTTAGAGGGCTCAGTGCTATGCTCTAAGGGCCCAACCACTGTGCCCACATCTGGCCTGATGGCCCATATCCGAGTCCCAGAATGTCATAGCCCTCCTGTGCGACACAGTTGCCTCCTGTGTGGGTTCGCCCAGAACCTCAGGACCCAGGAGGCAGTGTTCTCCCTGTGTCACTGGAAGAGCCTAGGACAGGAGGGTGTGAACAAACCGCAGTGGTAGCAAAGGAGATTCCAGTGTGGAACTTCCCACTCCAGCCTGATTTCCACTGTGTTTCCTCATCAAAAAAGCACACTTTATAAGGAAAAGTAAGCTGGGTGTGGTGGCAGACACTTGTAATCCCAGCACTCGGGAGACTGAGGCAGGAGAATTGTTCCAAGATTGAGGCCAGTCTCAGCTACATAATGAGTTCACAGGCAGTCTGAACTACAGTACATAGCAAGACCTTGTCTCAAAAAACCACAAGTAGGGCTGGGGATTTAGCTCAGTGGTTTTGCCACCTGCTGCACAAGCGCAAGGATCCAAGTTTGATCACCGGTACCAAAAAAAAACCAACCACAAATAAGTAAATAAAATGTAATGAAAAATAGGGAGATAGGCAGGAAGAGCAACTCGAGTTTGAGGCCAGCCTGGGCTACATTATGAGACCTGTTTGAAATGAATAAATGAATGCTGGGTGTAGTGGCACACACCCATAATTGTAGGACTCTGGCAGGCTGAGGCAGGAGGATTGCAGATTTTAGCCTAGCCTGGGCAACATAATGACTTAGTGAGACCCTGCCTCAAAGTTTTAAAAGGGCAGGGGATGTAGATCTGAGCAAAGGCCCTGAGTTCAGTCCCCACTACAACTGAATGGCATGAATGAATGAATGAACAAACAAAAACAACCTTCCAGCTAGGTTCAGTGGTGCTTATAATCCCAACACTCAGGCTAAGGCAGGAGGATTAAAAGTTGGAGGCCAGCCAGGGCTATAGTATTTGGAATTTGAGGTCAGCCTGGACTGCGGAGCAAGACCCTATCTCAAAAAAGGCCCCAAACAAGCAAACAGGCTTCTAGTACCCTCAAAGTGTAGCCACCCTCAGGCTTGAGAAGCCCGAAATAGAGATTAAATGCTGCCCCTTCTGCCTAGGACCCCTGAAGCTTGGGGCAGCCAATGGCAGCTTGCAGGAGTCCCTGGGAAGTGCAGCATGCTTGCTCAAGCTGTCAGAGCACCTGAGAAAACAGACCCAGGAGCTCTGGTAGGGTGGGAGTGGTGGCCGTGCCACCTCCACTGCGGTGCTCCACCTGTGGGGAGCCCTGGGCACCCAGACCATTCTCAACACCCATCCCTGTGTGGGGTGAACTCCTGGAGGCTGCCTAGAAGGGTCCGCTGAGCTGAGGCTTGAAGAAAGGCAGGGACAGGCACCCCTGGGGCCTCCCTGCTGCTGCCCCAGGGCTCATGTGCCTGGTTTGGGTCTTACAGGGTGAAATCCCCTGTGGGGTGTGATGGTGCTGGAAGGGCCAGTGGATATGGATAGAAGTGTGGCCCCACATCACCTCCATCTTGGGTGAGAAGACCCCCTGCAGAGGCCGGGCTGGGCAGTGGAGGGATACTTCTACCCTGTTCCCAGAGCCTTGGAGTAAGAGCTGTCCAGGACCAGGAGGCAAAGGGATGCCCCACGGTTTCAGCCCCGACACAGCAGCTGTATGCTGTGGTAGGATTCCCTATATCATCTCATGAAGAATGAACATTACTTCTGCTCCTTAGAACACAAAGAACTAAAGTCTGCCCTAGGGCCCTGTTCTTATCAAAGTGGGGCAAGTCACAGGACTGATCCAAGGCCAGTCTGCTGGTGGAAGGACTCCTGGCCACTACTCCTGCCCTCTGGTTCAAAGTCACCACCTTGGGGCTGGGGTGTGGCCCAACAGCAGAGGCATGCCTAGCTCGAATGAGACCATGGGTTCTCCCCCCAGGACTACAAATAAAGTCACCAGCTAGAGTAGCACCCAGAGGGCAGTTGTTGGCACAGAGCCCTAGGTTTGAATCCCACCTCTGCTACTTCCTGTGGTCCAGCCACTGCTCTACCTCCTGAGCCTGTTTCCTGGTCTCCAAATGTATCTCAGAGGCTGAGCCTGAGAATGTCCACCTCAGTGGCCTCCTTTGTTGAGCACCCTGGGTTCAGGGAAGGGTAGGGAGCATGATGCCCCACCCAGAACAAAGCAGGAGGACCCACCCTTCCGTGAAGCAGCTTGCAGACCCAGTGGCGCCCATGGGCCAGAGGGGTGGTGGCTGAGGGGGCTTGGGGCCTTGCTTCCTGTGCACCCAGAGAGACTAGTAATTGCAAAACCACACGGGGCTGCAGCTCAGCAGTGTGGGAGCCCATAGGGCAGGCTGGAGCACCTCAGAGAAGGGTTTGGAAGGAAAGCCAGGATGATGAAACCACCATATGTCCACCCATTTAGAGCTTTGGACCTTTCAAAGGACACACCCCTGACATGCAGGGCTAGCAGGGTAGTGGACATGAGCTGCCAAGGGCCAGGGGGAGGAGCAGGGTTGCTCACCCTGGCCATCTCCATCAGCCCCTTCCCCAGGCCCCTAACAGCCCTTTAACAGGGACTGGATGCCTAAGCAGCAAAGGCTTGTGCTTCCCCACCTCCAAACGTGTGGCCTCCCACCTCTTCCAAGAGAAGTATCAGGAGGGTCAGTGGGGCCATACTGTATACCTCGCTTGTCCCCCACAGCTGAGCAAGTAAGGTTCTCCTTGTATTTTGTTTTGAGATGGTCTCACTGTGTAGTCCAAGCTGGCCTTGAACTCAAAGCAAGCCTCCTGCCTCAACCTCCCTAGTCCTGGGATTACAGGCATGCACTACCTTGGTTGGCCTCAGTTCTCCTTTATATACAAAGACAGTGTCCAGAGAGAGGGGAAGGGATTTGGTTAAGGGCACACATGTGGGGCATAGTGGGCAGTGCTGCAGGACCCCACTGCTAGCCTCCCACTCCTTGACCCGCTGCGGTGGGAGTGGGCCACATTTCAAGTGGGGTAGGCCACTGAGATGGGCCAGCAGCTCTGAGCTGCTTCCGAGGCCCAGGCTGGGAGACTCAGCTGCCCACTGGAGGCTGAATCTTTGCACCTTGGGAGGGGAACCAGAAAACCTGGACTCAGGAGGCCTAAGATGTGGCCTCGGAGGTTACAGACCCCCGAGCCTCCTCCAGACCCAGAGGCCAATGCTGGGGGTCAGAACACCAGGGTCCCTCATGGAGGCTTACCTGTGCAGGCTCTCAAGTTCTCTCCCTGCTCCAGCCCCTTCTTCCTCTCTGGGGTCTTTCCTCTTTTTGGAAACTTCTGTACCTTTCTTCTTCTTTTCTTTTTCTTTTCTTTTTTCTTTCTTTTTTAATTTTTTTGAGACAGAGTCTCATTTTGTAGTTCAGGCTGGCTCTAAACTCACTATGTAGCCTAGGCTGGTCTCGAACTGGAGGCGATCCTACTGCCTCAGCCTCCCAAGTGCTAGGATTTACAGGCAACACCACCACACCCAGCTTCTGTGCCTTTCTTTCTGCTAGGCTGGGGTTACTACTGAATTGACAGCTTCATTTTTCTCCAACCAAGGCACTGCTGCCAGGCACTGACTTGGGCCAGGACCCCAGACACAGGCAGGGTGTGGACTAAGGGCAGGAGCTCAGAGCTGGCACCACATGGCCTCCTGGCCTCAGTGTATTAATCTGCGAAGGGAGGGTAATTATAACCCTTCCAGCAGGGATGTTGTGGAGATAAGAAGCCTGAAGTCACTTTGAAATGCCAAGAAGCATGTGAGAATGTGAGATGATGTCACCATGACCTCTTCCCCAGGGGTGGGGAAGGACTGGTGACAGCACCTCCACACCACAGGGGCTGGAGAGGGGAGTGACAGGTCCTTTCTGCAGATCTGCCTGAGCCTCTTGGAAGCAGTGACCATGGACAAAAGACGTTCAAATGAGGGCGAGGGGGCCATGGGAAGAAGGAAAGACAGTGGCCCAGTTACTCAGACTGGCTGGGCCCGAGGCTCTGGGGAGGAGAAACTCATTTATCCACCAACATTTGCTGAGCTGGGCTCTGTGGTCCTGGGGCCCAGCATGCAGAGGATCAGAGAAGAGACGTGCCAGGCACTATCAGGGCTGGAGGCCTGGCTGCCTGTTCAGGTTGGAACAGGGTCAGTCTGATAGTGGCCCTTTAAGAACTTTCTGACACTGGAGTACAAAGGCATGAGCAGGGGGACTGGATCCCTTTTACAGACAAGGAAACCAGGTCTTGCAAAAACAATGTGACAAAACTGGCATAAGAGCAAAATGAATTGAGTGTATGAGAGAAGTGTTGAGTGACAGTCCGAGGTCTGCCCCATACCACCCTAGGCCTCAGGACTCAGCTTCCCCTCTGGTGTAGTGTGGGTATGTGGATATGAAGTCTGATAGGGAACGGACTTTTCTGAGAATTCAGCATCGGAGAGTTAAGAAGATTGCCCCAAGTTACGTGGCGACCTGTGGCCTCATCAATTGACTCTTGACTGCTGACTACTTGGGCCGTAGTGGGGCGGGCAGAGAATCAGGGTGACCAAGGCGGGCAGCGAGGAGCACCCCACCTTCCTGCCCTGGCCCTCTCACCCTCTCTTCTTCAACTGGGAACTCGCCTCCTCAGAGGCCTGCCTCTCCTCTGGTCTCTGGCGCCACCCTGCGGCCTCTTCTGACCTCCCATAGCCCTGGTCCTGCTGGGGTGCCCAAAGAGAGCTCGGAGTTGCCCAGAAGAAACCCGGGAGGCCTCAATCAAACCTTCCAAACTCCTGCTCGCCACCTTCCGGAGACCAGGGGCAGCGAGAAAGATCCCCAGATTTGAGCTTGAACCCTGACTCCCTTTCCTGGCTTGATGGGCTTGGGAAGCTTCCCCTTTTCCTAGACCCCAGCCCTGGGGAGCCACAGGGCAGGGTTGCTGCGGAGATGGAGATAGTAGTGTGGAGAAACACCCTATTTGCTGCTGGGGGTGTCCATTTCACTCTGCAAACACTCACAGAGCACCTCCTCCTTCCGCACTAGGAATGTGGCCTTATCCAGTCTCAAGTTCTAGGTCTCAGAGGGGAAGAAGAAAACCCCTAAACAGGTTATTTAATGAAAAAATGTGTTGTCTAAAGTCACTAATATCCCTCCCTTTAATCTCTCTTCTTGGACGGACCCACTGTCCTATGTCGTCGCGTCCAGCCCAGCTGCACACAGCTGGGTAGAAATTCGAAATATCCTAGTATAGAGTCGCCCCCACCCCGGCCTCCCTTGGCCTAGTGCCGGCCTCTTAGGCCCTTCACATTCCAGGCCGGGCCTCTGGCCCTGCTCCGGCCCTGCTGAAAGAACTCGTGGTGGAGGTAACAGCCCAGCCGGCACCAGATTGTCTATCTACGGAGTCCCTCACCCTTCGAATAACCTTCGTCCTTCCAAGCCTCAGTGTACCCATCTGCCAAATGGATGAGACTATCCCTTCCCCACCTCCCTTTCTCCCAGGTCAGCTGTAACAATACAAAAAGTCACAGCAACAACTCTGGGCAGAGCAGTGGCAGGTCGGGGGTTGCCTAACGCGGCAGCCAAAACCGGGAGAAGCGAACTACAACTCCCTTCCGGCTCCGGGACAGCGGCCGTTCCCCGCCCCACTTCCAAGGCCAAAGAGGGTCGCTGCCCGAGCAGGAGGTAGTGCGCGACTGGTGCTCCACCGAGGTTAGGGTCCTCAAGGTGTCCCCGTGGGGCCGGGACTGACACCATCACGGGGTCCGGACGGGTCTTCCAGACCCCAGCCCCGCCTCGCCCAGAAGTCACTCCCGCCGACCCCCCCCCCGCCACTTCCTGGCCCGGGTTGCGCCCGCCCCCTCGCGCGCCTCCGCCCGCCCACCCTCCTTCAGTCGCTGCTCCCATTGGCCGAAGCGTACCTGTCCGTCCGTCGGGGGGCGGGGTGAAGGGCAGAGGGCGGGGTGAGGCGCCCAGGTGAGCGCGCGCGGGTGGCGGCGGAGGAAGGTGACAGCGAGGAGGGCGGGCCAGTGAGGGGAGGCTGTACGGACCAAGCCTCGGCCCGACGGACGAACGGAGCGACGGACCGACAGACGGACTTACCGGCAGACATGCAGGTGGCCCGGCTTTAGCCCAGGCACAGGGCTCGGGTGCAGCCATGGAGCAGCGGCTGCGCGCTCTAGAGCAGCTGGGTCGGGGTGAGGCCGGCGGCGGCCTGGGGCTCGACGGTCTCCTAGATTTGCTCTTAGGGCTGCACCACGAGCTCAGCAGCGCCCCCCTGCGCCGGGAGCGCAATGTGGTGCAATTCCTGAGCTGGGGTAAGTAGCCGTGGTGGAACGGGGCGGGAGTTAGGGTCCCGGCTCCCGGACCCCTGCGCGCTCCGCCTCCTCACAGCCTCCCACGGGGACGCAGCAGCCCTAGAAACTCTTCACCTCGCTGTGAGCTCTCACACCTGCCACCGACCCCACAGCCCGCGCAGCCACCTGCACACGCCCCTTCCCACTCCAAGAGCCCTGGCATCCCCACACGACACACAGACACACACAAACTTACTCCCAGATTGTGGATCTCAGACGTATGTGTCCAGTACACTCCTCCACAACATCATGTACAGGATTTTCCAGTTGCAGGTCACATCCCGTGCCCCACGCAGAACACACACACACACACACACACACACACACACACACACACACAGACTCCCCTGCATGTCACAAATACTCAGTCTTTACTGACACAAAGACAATGACGAGGGGAGTTCTCACTTCCCCTCTGCAGGCCATCTGGCCCCTCCAGCTCTGCTACAGGTAACTGGTGGATTTTGCAGACAGCCCCACACCCTGCACACAAGTCCACCCCAACCTGGACCGGGAGCCAACCTCAGCCCTTTTGTGCAAGCTGCTGGCCTGGCTTCCTGACAGGGCCAAGGGAGGGGTCCTGGCTGGAGGTGGGTCTGCACCCTTTCCTGGTTGACTCATCTCAATCACTGGGAGTGGCTGGCCCAGAGTGACCCAGAACCCAGTGTGGGCACTGGTGTCAGCCTGAGGGTTCCCTGGTCACACCTGGCTGGACCATGTGGGGAGGACACAGGTGTCCAGCCTGGAGGGTGGGTGAGGTGGGTTGTTTGCTCAGTGGGCAACTAGTGTTCCTGGTGCCTGGCATGGTTGGAAACCAGCCACCAGACTGGCCATCAGGTTGGCCCCCAGCCCTGGGATGAGGGCAGTCAGAGGCCCTGCTCTTATTGCCTGCCTGTCTTCTTGGGACTCCTGTGTGTTATGTGTGTATGTCTGTGTTGTCACCCCCACTCCCTGTAATGTCCACACCCATGTGAGTGTTTGCACACACGTGTGTGCTCCTCCCTGCCTGCCTGTGGCACCTCTGCCTGGGACCTCACAGTGGGGGCCGTCTGTTGACATCTGAGGTAACTCCTAGGGTGTGACTCACTCCTCTCCTGCCCCAACTTGTCCCTGCTCCTTCCCAGAGCCCTTATCCCCTGTGGCAAGGCAGGAGGCCTGGGCATCCTGTCTTGGGGGCCTGGATCCTCCTGGTTCTGGGCCCCAGCTCTTGACCCATCTGCTTGGTGGGTCACTGCCCTGGCCTCAGTTTCTCCCTGGAAGCCTGTGGCTGCTCATCCCCCACTTCATACTCGGACCTGGGAAAGAAACAATTAATATCTGTAATGAGGTTTCCACACCACCCCCGCTGCAGGGGTTCTGCCTGATAAACCTGTGGAGCAGCTCTCTGTCCTACCCATAGGCCCGCCCAGCTGAAAGAGATTTTACCTCCTGGCAAGGGGAAACTGAGGCAGGGTGCCAGACCATAGCTGCCCCCAGTCCTCACTGGCCATTACAGCCTCTCTCTGTCCCTAAGACTTAATTCCTTTCCCCCTGGCCTGTGGCTACTCCAGACCTGGGCAGGGCCAGGGAGTGGCTGAAGATGCCCTTCATGAAGGTTTCAGAGACTGTGACGCAAGAGGAGGCTCTTGGCCAGGCAAAAGAGAGGGAGCCGGGGCTATGAGTGGCAGGGCTATCAGGCCTGGAGGGGATCCTCAGTGCTCATACCCTCAGGTGCTGGCATCAGCCACCAGGTAAAGGTTTTTGGCTCTGTTTGGAGTCTTGTGAGCACCCAGGCAGACTGGTACCTATGTCTCCAGACCAGGGGCTCCACCTGGGGAGCACAGAGCCTGTCCCCCAGGTCCCTGCAGGACCACTGTCCTCCCTGTCCTCTGGGTATGCCCCCGGCCTTACCTCTAGCCAGGTGTCTCTATACCTACAGGGTCCTGGGACCCAGGCCCACAACTCCTGAATGTCAGAGAAGCTTCTCAGGGGACAAGGAATGTCACCTATCCAGTTTCCCAAGACAGGCCCTGGCCTGGTCCTGTTAGGGGCCAAGAACTGTGTGTGTGTAGGGGGGTAGTAATGGTATTCTCATCTTCCCCAGGGTGACCTGGCCAGCTGGGATCAAGCCTCAGACTGGGGAGGACTACAAGTCCCATCAGCCCCTGGGATAATGGAGGCTGTATGGAGTCTGGAGATAGGGGTCTGGGGAGGTTGGGGGCCAGAACCCTCACCTTCCACAGTTCCAGCTCATAGCTGAATGGACTCCACCTATTACTTAGCCCACTTGCCAGGCCGTCCCTGGGGAGGCCTCCCTGTTCTGCAGTTCCTGGCTTTGCCAAGGTGAGAGAGGGTATTGGGGCCCTCACTTGAATGCTCTGAGCCCCAACTCTGTTCCCTCAGCCACCCCCTTCGTAACAAAGGTGAAAGAGCTACGCCTACAGAGAGATGACTTTGAGATTTTAAAGGTGATCGGCAGAGGGGCCTTCGGGGAGGTGAGCAAAGAGCCTGGGGCAGGTGTTGAGGAAGGGGTTAGTGGCTGGCTTAGGCTCACTCTAGTCCTAATGTGGCCTCAGGTCGCCGTGGTGAGACAGAGAGACAGTGGGCAGATCTTTGCCATGAAAATGCTGCACAAGTGGGAGATGCTGAAGAGGGCCGAGGTCAGTTTGGGGTCTGGTGGGACTTGGGCATCGTGCATATGGTGTGGGGAGCGTGCTGCTAGCAAGGTATACAAGACAACGGGGCATGGCAGAACATCAGGCAAAGAAGGCCATCCTCGGCAGTCACCCGTCTCCTAGCCTTTCCTCACAAGAGTAAGCTGGGTTGTTCCCATGTTCTTTTTTGTTTGGTTGGTTTTTTGTTTTGTTATTTTGCTTGAGACAGGGTCTTGCTATGTAGTCCAGACTTGCCTTGAACTCTAGCTGAGGGTGGCCTTGAACTCATGGTGATCCTCCTGCCTCAGCCTCCTGAGTGCTGGAATTACAGGCATGGGCCACCACACCTAGCTCCCATTTTCTTTATGGTAATACTGAGGCCCAGAGCTGTAAAGCATGGGCTCAGGCTCAAGGCAAGCCTGGAACAAGCAGAGCTGCACCCTCCATCCATCCATAAGCTTAGGAGTCATTCTCTGAGCTGGCCAGGGGTTCCTGGGCTCTGATCCCACCTGCCCCACTCCCTCAAACCTGTTGCAGACGGCCTGTTTCCGGGAGGAGCGAGATGTGCTGGTGAAGGGGGACAGTCGTTGGGTAACCACTCTGCACTATGCCTTCCAAGACGAGGAATATCTGGTGAGGGTATTCGGCACAGGGCGGGGGGTGGGGCGTGGGGGGGTGGAGCTTGCCTGAAAACAAGGAGAAGGTTCTTGGGGGCAAGGGCACTGGGTTCTCCTGGGATCTAGAGGGCCCCCATTTCCTACCAGCTGCTCAGCCTGGCAATTTCTACTTGAGCTCAGGCTGGAAGCTAGCCAGCCCAGAGCTGTTGGGAACCGCCCTCCCCTGCAGTGTTCCAGAGCCCCACAGGACCACTATGAGGTGGACAGGTACTCCTTTCCCTCCATCTGATTCTTGTCCCCACCCACTGCCCTTTAGTACCTGGTGATGGACTACTACGCTGGTGGAGACCTCCTCACACTGTTGAGCCGCTTTGAGGACCGTCTCCCACCTGAGCTGGCCCAGTTCTACCTGGCCGAGATGGTGCTGGCCATCGACTCGCTGCACCAGCTGGGCTATGTCCATAGGTGGGCCTCCAAAGCCTCTGCTGCCCAGCTGGCCCACGCTGACTGCTCCAGACATGGCTGTTTGCTGAGTACTTGCCATATGCCCACCCCCATGCAGGGGGCTCATATATGTGCTTCTCTGAACCCTCCTTCCAAAAGACCTCATGTGGTGAGGGCTGCCAGTGCACCCACTTTACAGATGAGAAAATCAGAATTGGGCTGGGGATTTAGCTCAGTGGTTCCAGCGTCTGCCTCGAAAGCACAAGGTCCCAGGTTCGATCACCCGTACCAAAAAAAAAAAAAGAAAATCAGAATTTATCATAGGTAAGCCCCTGGCTCAGGACAGCCCAGCTAATTGGAGCTGAGGTCTGCATGGATGAAATCTGATTCCTGTATCCCCTGCAGCACACTCTGCAGCCCCTAGGTTCATCCTTACCGTATCCTTTCCACCAGTCTAGCTTCCTCCCTCTTTCTCCTGGCTACCAGCCTGCTCTCCCTGTTACATCCGTGCACACACATGGCTCACGTGTGCACACAGGAACTCCTGAGAGCACATGCAAGTATATACCTAGTAACATGCCTTTTTTTTTTTTTGGAGACATGGTCTTGCTATGTACCCTAGGCTGGGCTCATACTTGTAGCAATCCTCCTGCCACAGCCTCTTGAGTGCTAGGATTACAGGCATGTGCTAACATGCCCTGTTGGACAGATTCCTAAATGTACATCTTCATGCAAGGTCAAGCCCCTCATCTCCCTGCCCTCCCCCAGGGATGTCAAGCCAGACAATATCCTGCTGGACATGAATGGTCATATCCGCCTGGCTGACTTTGGCTCCTGTCTGCGACTCAACAATAGTGGCATGGTGAGGACCTCACGTAGAATGAGAGCCAAGGACACCAGACAGGCCAAGCTCTCAAGGGGATGAGGGTACCCAGGCTAGTGGAGGGTGCATCAGGTCCCAAGAGGTAGCACTGGAGCAGTCCTGCCCCTAGGAAGTGGAAGTGCCGGCCTTGACATACAACACCACTGCTCACAGGTGGATTCATCGGTGGCAGTAGGGACACCAGACTACATCTCCCCGGAGATCCTGCAGGCAATGGAGGAGGGTCAAGGCCACTACGGCCCACAGTGTGACTGGTGGTCGCTGGGAGTCTGCGCCTACGAGCTGCTCTTTGGGGAAACACCCTTCTATGCAGAATCCCTGGTGGAAACCTATGGCAAGATCATGAACCATGAGGTCTGGCCACAGGCTCAGGAGGGCAGCGGAACCCCCATGTATGTGTGGCTAGAGGTGTCAGCATGCCAACGTGGGCCCCCAGCTGATTACCTGTTCTCTTCCCTGGCCTGCAGGACCATTTGCAGTTCCCCTCTGACGTGCCTGATGTTCCATCCAGTGCCCAGGACCTGATCCGCCAGCTGCTGTGCCGCCAAGAGGAGCGGCTGGGCCGTGGTGGGCTGGATGACTTCCGGAGCCATCCCTTCTTTGAGGGTGTGGACTGGGAGCAGCTGGCGGCCAGCACCGCCCCCTATATCCCTGAGCTTCAAGGGCCTGTGGACACCTCCAACTTTGATGTTGATGATGACACCCTCAATCATCCTGTGAGTGGCAGATGCCACTGCAAGAGCGTACCACCTTGCTCCTCATTGGCTATGGAAACCTCCAGAAGTCCCTAGAGCAGTTACTGGGCTGGGGTGAGGCCTTTGGACCCCAGGGGCTCACGAGAATTGTTGTTCACCTGGGCCAGCTGACCTGTACTGAACAAGGTTGTACGGAGTAAAGGCCCTTTGACCCTAGGAGTCATCCTATTAACTAGAATTCATGTAAGGAAGAGAACTCCCAGCAGCCCCTGGGAGACCATAATCTCAAGGATTCATGGAAGTTGTGGTCCATTTTGGTAGGGGCTATGTCCTCCTGGGTTACACTTGAGCAGGAGAAGGCTGTCAGTCCCATCCCCAGGGGATTACTTTCTTTCTTTCTTTTTTTTTTTTTTTTGGATTTTTTGACACAGATTCTTGCTAAGTAGTTCAGGCTGGCCTTGAACTCACTATATAGTTCAGGCTGGCCTCGAACTCATGCTGATCTTCCTGTCTCAGCCTGTTTCTTGAGCTGTTCTTACTGGCTCTGACTCTCCTTCCCTCTCCTATAGGATACCCTGCCACCACCCTCCCATGGGTCCTTCTCCGGCCACCACCTGCCATTCGTGGGCTTTACCTATACCTCTGGGAGGTAAGTCTAGCCCTCACAATTGCTGGGAAGTGGGGGTGTAGCCCATCAGTACCACAGGAAAGGGAACAGAATGGTTTCCTGACACCTCATGTTATCACTGTCCTGGAGAAGCCATGGCTGTTCCTCTGGGCCACATCTCAGCATGGGGCCCTCACAGCACCCTGCAGGTTTCAAAGTCACTCTGCCCGGCGTGGTGGTGCATGCCTGTAATCCCAACACTGGGGAGGCTGAGGCAGGAGGATTGCTGCAAGTTTGAGGCCAGCCTCAGCTACATAGTGAGTTCAGGGTCAGCCTGAACAGCATAGTGAGACCCTGTCTCCAAACAAAACAAAACAAAACAAAAACAGGCACTGGACTCAGAGTATGAAGGGCTTCTACTACCCCAAGCCTCAATCTGTGTCTCTATAAAATGGGCAGGAGGATTACTTAGTCCCATTTGTGCTGCCAGTCTGAGATGGAAGCAAGGGCCTGGGATGGAGTGCTGAGATGGCGGGTGCTCTGAACAGCCCTTATCCAAGGACCACTGCACTGGACCCAGCACCTTACCAAGGCCTCTCAATAGGCTTCAGAAGAGGCCATTACCACTTCCGTTGTCCTGCAAGGAAACTGAGGCTCAGACATTTTAGGTGACTCTCCAAGGTCACAGAGCTTTTGAGGCCAGGATGCCCCAGGCTGTCCTGAAGGCAGGGTCTTGGTTTGATCTTTTCCTCTCCCTGAACAGAGTCCAGCCCTAGGCCTGGAGCTGGGGTGGGATAGGGGGTCTTGAATGAATGAATGATTGGATGCAGGAGGACAGATCAGGCTGGGGGCGGGGGGGGGGGTGTTCTTCCACCTTGCATTGTTCCTGTCTTCCCCCAGCCTCAGTCCTGAGAGCAGCTCTGAGCTAGCAGCTGCCCAGGAGTGGAAGCTCCGCTGTTTGGAGGAGGAAAAGGTGGAGCTGAGCTGGAAGTGCCAAGGTATAAGGGCATCTGGGCCTGGTCTGTGTGTGGGAGCCCTGGGGCTACTACTGCAGGCCTGGCTGCTCACTCACGGGGTCCCTCAGACCACCAGGAGCTGGCACAGCTGCAGAAGGAAGTGGAAACTCTGAGGGAGAGGCTGGCAGGTAACCCTCCCCCATCCTGGTATAGCCCATGAGAAGTCCTCTCTAGTCCCCAATCCTGTCCCTCCTCTATATGTGGTCTGTGACCTTGAGAAGGAGGCTTTGAACCTCCTTGTGGAAAAAGGGCCATGGAGAAGGTTCTGTGAGATGCTGCACATGGAGGACCTGAGGCAGGGTGGTCAGTATGCATGGGTCTCAGTGACACTTTCTGGCAGAGACACTGAGGGACAGCAAGGCCTCCTTGTCCCAGAGGGATGGGTCCCCTGGTGATAGCCCAGGCCAAGTCAGTGACCTACAGTCGGAGAAGGACCAGCTTCAGCAGGTAAGGACCAGCTCCTCAGGTAAGGCAGTGGGGGCCCAGGACTCCATGCCACAGAGACTGGTGCCCTGATCGGGCCTTGTCCTCCCTACTCTGGATGCCCAGGAGCTGGCTGAGGCCCAGGCAGGGCTGCAGGCACAGGCACGGGAGCTATGCCGAGCCCAGAGCCTGCAGGAGGAACTACTGCTGAGGCTGCGGGAGGCCCAGAAGAAAGAGGTGGCCACAACCAGCCAGATCCAGGCCCTGAGTTCCCAGCTGGAAGAAGTCTGTGATATCAGGAAGGAGGTAGGTGGTGGGAGTGGGAGGAGAGGGGACAGCAGCTGAGCCCAGCACCTGTGAGCCCCACTATGGCTGGAGGAGGCCTGAGGTGCCAAATTTAAAGTGCTAGGGATACCACATGCCCTTGTACCTCCCATGTGGTTGGTGGAAACTGACCCAAGACATTGTGGCAGGAAAGGGGCATCTGGGAACCCCCTGTGGCTGTCAGATCCTACAAGTCTGTGGCAAGGTGGGGCAGAAGGGTTGGGGAGGGCAAAGTCCATACTGCCTGCCTCTGCACCCTGTCACAGCTGGAGAACCAGGTGGCCAGCCTGAGCCAGGAGGTGATGAGACTCCGGGGACCACAAGACCGAAGCCTTAAGAAGGAATCTTCCCAGACCAAGGTAGTGAGGACTCACCCCCCTGGTCAGAGGTGTCCCCCTCAGTCTGATCCCCTGAAGACCCCACGGCCAGGCCTGTGTCCTTGCATGGGGCAGTTTGTTGGGCCCTGCCCTGACCCCTCTGCACATCTTCAAGACCGTCCATGCAGCCTCTGAGACCAATGGCACTGGATCATCTGAAGAGGGCACTCATGAGGCCCAGCTCCTCAAGGAAGTGGCCATCCTGCGGGAACAGCTGGAACAGGCTTGCCGCTATGGGTAAGCCAGCAGCAGGGCTGACAGGATGGGGCCAGATAGGCTGGGCTGTACTGGCACTATCACCGCCACCATTACTTCATGGCCTCAGCCTTTTGCTCCTCAGGCCCAATGGGAAGGAGGAGGCTCTGTGCCAGCTAAGGGAGGAGAACCAGAGGCTGAGCCGGGAACAGGAGCAGGTGAGCAGGATGGATGGCAGAGCCCTGGTGACAGACAGATAGGGTGCTGGCAGGGTGGGTGGCAGAGCTGCTGGGGTCCTGGCTGGCTGGAGCAGGTGAGAAGGGTGGAGACACGTATGGGGCTTGGGATGATGGTGTACCTATGGGGAAACTGGCAGGGTTGGGGCCCTGGCAGATGGCCCAGCTGCAGGGCCACCTGGACACTGAGGCCTCCTTCCACCTGGCCCCCAGCTGGCCGAAGAGCTGGAGCAGGAACTGCAGACCAAGCAGCGGCTGGAAGGCGAGCGGCGGGAGACTGAGAGCAACTGGGAGGCCCAGATTGCAGACATCCTCAGCTGGTGGGTGCTGCCAGGCTGGGGAGGGGCCCTGGGCGAGTCTGGGTTCCTGGCCCTTGACTTTGAGCCCCTTCCCAATCAGGGTGAATGATGAGAAGGTCTCGAGAGGCTACTTGCAGGCCCTGGCCACCAAGATGGCTGAGGAGCTGGAATCCTTGAGGAATGTGGGTACCCAGACAATCACCACCCGGCCTCTGGTGAGCCTCAGATTTGCCCTGGAGTCGGGGTGGGAGGCTGAAAGAACTGATGCTGGGCCTGGCTGAGTGGCATGGGCAGCAGCATGCACCAGTGGGAGGAAGTTTCCAAGGCATTCAGGCCCAGAGGGCATCTTATGGGGTGCTTTGTGGCTACCAGGACCACCAGTGGAAGGCGCGGCGTCTGCAGAAAATGGAGGCCTCAGCGCGGCTGGAGCTGCAGTCAGCACTGGATGCTGAGATCCGAGCCAAGCAAGGGCTGCAGGAACGGCTGACGCAGGTGCAGGAGGCCCAGCTGCAGGCTGAGCGGTGAGGCTGGCAGCATGTGCTGTGGGCCTGGATCCCATGCAGAGGCCCGTGGTGAGCCCTTGTCCCCTCCCTACAGGCGCTTGGAGGAGGCTGAGAAGCAGAACCAGGCCCTACAGCAGGAGCTGGCTGCACTGAGGGACGAGCTTCGGGCCCGTGGGCCAGGGGGTGAGTGGCCAGTGCTCCTAAGCCAGAGCCAGTGGCCTGCTCCAGCCTTCCTCTGCATGGTGCCTCAGCGTCTGTTACTCACCACTTATTGAGCTCCTGTTGTGTGCCAGGCCCCCTTGCCCCATAGCTTGTGGTCACTTCCACATTCAGTGAGGGAGGAACTGAGGCCCCTGCTGCCCTTGGTTCCACAGCCCAGAGACTTCACCCTGAGCGACCCATGCTTTCTGTTTGCAGACACCAAGGCCTCACACTCCCTCATTCCCTTCCTGTCCTTCCGGAGCACAGAGGTAAGAGCCAAGTGGAGGGGTTGGCTGGAGAGAATATGTGGGGAGAGCCACAGGGACCTTCACTTTGCCCTTTCCTCTCTCATCCACAGAAGGATTCTGCTAAGGACTCTGGCATCTCAGGAGAAACCCCAAGGCCTGGGGTAGAGCCTGAGCTGAGGCCAGAGGGCCGCCGAAGCCTGCGCATGGGGGTGAGGAAAGGCAAGAGCCCCACGAGTGTGGGCTGGGCTGCCCTGCACCCCACCCTTCTCACCTGCTCCTTTGCTGTCCTGCAGGCTGTGTTCCCCTGGGTGCCTGCTGTTACTGCCACCTCTGCAGAAGACCCTCCTGCTAAGGTCAGTGCTGAGGGGCAGAGTAGAGTGGGAGCCCCGAGCAACTGTGCTGGTGTCCATGGACCTGGTGGGGACCCTCCATGGGCATCATGAATGGCAGCCCAAGTTTAGGGTAGTACTGGGGCTTAGAAGTGGCAGCTGCCTGGCTCAGCCTTTTGCCCACCTGACCCTGCCCGAGTGGGTGATGGCATGTACCCCTTCACAGCCTGGCTCTCACACACTGCGTCCCCGGAGCTTCCCATCCCCCACCAAGTGTCTCTGCTGCACTTCGCTGATGCTGGGCCTGGGCCGCCAAGGCCTGGGCTGTGATGGTGAGCATCCCCCCACACACACCTGTCCCTTGTGTTACAGCCACAGTCCCAAGTGTGACCCTGACACACACACCTAGGCTGTTCCCCTCAACCCAGGGTAACTGGTACCTCCTGGTCCAATTTCCTTCTTTCAGTTTTTTTTCCCACTTGGTGGGCAATTGGTGACAACTCAGGTGTCACTGTGGCCTCCAGGAAACTGGGGTGGGGAAGGCTCAGATCCTGGCTCAGTCATACCATTTGACTTGTCTGCTTTCCCTACAGCCTGCGGCTTCTTCTGTCACTCAACCTGTGCCCCACAGGCCCCGCTCTGTCCCGTGCCCCCCGATCTCCTTCACACAGCCCTGGGGGTGCACCCTGAAACAGGCACAGGCACTGCCTATGAGGGCTTCTTGTCGGTGAGCGGGGGCTGGGGAGTGAGGAGGGTGGGCATGGGGGCCAAGGGCCTGGGCAACCCTCCCATGCCTGCCTCCCCCAGGTGCCAAGGCCCTCTGGTGTCCGGCGGGGCTGGCAGCGGGTATATGCTGCCCTCAGTGACTCGCGCCTACTGCTGTTTGATGCTCCTGACCCTCGAGCCAGCCCAGCCAGCACTGCCCTCCTGCAGGCCTTGGACTTGAGGTAGGTGTGGACAGGGGCATGAGGCAAGTGACCAATGGGTGAGAGGGGCAGCCAGGGACAGTACAATCTCTGACTGTCCCCTGCACCTTCCAGGGATCCCCAATTCTCTGCTACCCCTGTCCTGGCCTCCGATGTTATCCATGCCCAATCCAAGGACTTGCCACGCATCTTTAGGGTAAGTGTTTTGGACAGAACAGTCCCAACCATCCTCTATCTCCCTTTGCCATCCCCACTGCAGCCACTGTTCATGGCCATGGCTGGCTACCTTGGCCCATAGCTTCACCTTCACAGGGATGCCATAGTAGACTTCATCCTTCAGCCACCGTGAACTTGCCACAGGAATCTGGCTGTATCCTACCTTGTTTGGGGCCCTTGTGTGGCTTCCCAGCACCCTAATGAGGCTCCTGACTGAGAATGTGAGGCCCTGCGATCTGACCCCACAGACAGCCCCAGCCCCTCCATGTTGGTCCTCTCTCTGCTCTGGCCACACCTTGCTCCCTCCAGTTCCCAGAGTACCCAGCGGCTATGTGCACCGCCTTTATAGTATCATATTCTCTTCCCTCTGCACAGAATTGCCAGCCTATGCCAGCCCCACCCCTCACCTGCACTGACTTTCTCCTGGATAATCAGCCGTCCACTCTGCAGTTGTCCTTTACCTCTAGGCCTGCGTTAGGAGGCTACTCCATGTTTCAATTCCTATCCTTCCCCTACTGTGGCACACATCACAGGGCTCTAGACATGGCCATGTGTGTCTGAGTGCCCTGTCTGACTTATCCCCTGCTATAGGCCATGACTAGCACTACACCTGGTGAACACGCACTCAGTGGTAGCGAACCTCCGCTGGTGGAGGGAAGGGAGGAAGGATGGATGGCTTTCAGCCCGCAGCCCTCCAGCATGGGTCCCTGCCCACAGGTGACAGCCTCCCAGCTGACTGTGCCTCCGACCACGTGCACTGTGCTGCTGCTGTCGGGGAGCGAGGGGGAGCGTGAGCGCTGGCTCCAGGTGCTGGGGGAGCTGCAGCAGCTGCTGCTGGAGGCACGGCCTCGGCCCCGGCCTGTGTACACACTCAAGGAGGCCTACGACAATGGGCTGCCTCTGCTGCCCCACACACTGTGTGCTGCTGTCATTGGTGAGCCTGGGGGCTGAGGAGTGTCACTCTGCGAAGGCTGGAGGAGAAGTCCAGGCCTTCAGGGAGGGGCTGGCATGGGCACAGTCATAAAAGCCACTGTTGGGGGCTGGGATTTAGCTCAGTGGTTTCGCAGCCTGCTGTGCAAGCTCAAGGACCCAAGTTCGATCCCCGGTACCAAAAAAACAAAACAAAACAAATAAAAGCCACTGTCAGGGCCTGTTCCCTGCAGCCTGGAGCTGGGGACTCTGTCTTGCACACACATCCTCACAACATTACCCTCCTCCGCAGAGCCGTGTGGAGAGCCAGGACACCAGGGGCCTGGCTTTTCCACTGTGTTTCTCTGTCTCAGGTTCTGCTTTATCTAAAAGATTCTCATGTGAGTAGAGGGAGCAAAGGCTTTGTGAAGAGATAAGTCACAGGCTCAGTCCTGCTGTCTTACAGTAGCTGGTGACCATGGGGGAGTGGCAGGACCAGCAGGGAGCCTGGATCTCAGCAGGGCCCCCCATAATTGACAGCTAGGAAAAACAGGGATGAAGCAGAGCTCCTTGGCTTCCCCTGAGCCAGCTCCAGCCCTGCAGTCACTCAGCACAGGAGCCACAGGAGAGACTGTGTGGGTCCCCTGGGTCATTTGGGAGCCAGAGGAAACAATGTTGTCTGTTGAGTAAGGAGCTCTCCTCTGCACTCCCTTTGCACTACTTCATCTGAGGCTGAGGCAAGAAGATTGCCATGAGTTCAAAGCTAGCCTGGGCTACATAGTGAGTTCAAGGATGGCGTGAACTACATAATGAGACCCTGTCTCAAAAAGCTGGGCATGGTGGTACATGCCAGTAATCCCAGCACTAGAGAGGTTGAGGTAGGAAAATGGCTGTGAGTTTGAGGCCAGTCTGAACTATATATCTGTGTCTCAAAAAAAAAAGAGTCAGGGCTGGGGATTTAGCTCAGTGATTCCACCACCTGCCTCGAAAGCGCAAGAACCCGAGTTCGATCCCCTGTACCAAAAACAAAAACAAAATAATTAAAACAAAAGCAAAAAAAAAAAAAAGACTCAAAAAAGAGAGAGTCAGTCTCAACAAGGGCAGGTGGTGGATGGTGGGTTTTGCCTCTGACCCTTGACTCTTTTTTTTTTTTTTGACCCTTGACTCTTGATGTTCTACTTCTCCTACCCACTACCAGACCGGGGACGGCTTGCCCTGGGCACCGAGGAAGGGCTGTTTGTGATCCATCTGCACAACAATGGTACATGCAGGGCTGGGCAGGGAGGGTGTGGGTGGGGTCAGCTCCAGTGCCTAGAGTAGGACGGGGACTGGGTGGGTTATCTCCCACTTGTACCTCTCTCCTCTCAACCCTGCAGACATCTTCCAGGTGGGCGAGTGCCGCAGAGTGCAACAGCTGACCCTGAGTCCCTCTGCGGGCCTGCTGGTTGTGTTGTGCGGCCGTGGCCCTAGTGTGCGCCTCTTCGCATTGGCTGAGCTGGAAAGCACCGAGGCGGCAGGTGCCAAGATCCCTGAGTCTCGAGGCTGCCACGTGCTGGCAGCTGGGCGCATCCTGCAGGCTCGAACCCCTGTGCTCTGTGTAGCTGTCAAACGCCAGGTTCTCTGCTACCAGCTGGGCCCAGGACCAGGGCCCTGGCAGCGCCGCATCCGGGAGCTGCAGGCACCCGCACCTGTGCAGAGCCTGGGGCTGCTGGGCGACCGCCTGTGTGTGGGTGCCGCTGGTGCCTTCGCTCTCTACCCACTGCTCAATGAGGCTGCGCCCTTAGCACTGGGGGCTGGCCTAGTACCTGAGGAGCTGCCACCGTCCCGAGGGGGCCTGGGTGAGGCATTGGGTGCTGTGGAACTCAGCCTCAATGAGCTCCTACTGCTGTTCACCACTGTTGGTGTCTACGTGGATGGCACCGGCCGCAAGTCACGCAGCCATGAGCTGTTGTGGCCAGTGGCACCCATAGGCTGGGGTAAGGCTGGTGGACGGCCTGGCTGGGTGGGGCTAGGCACCTGTGGTGTGTCAGAGGAAGCCCAAGTTCTGCCCAAACTTTAGAGCTTGGCACCTCCTATTCTGCCCTGGTGGCTTGTCAGAGACCTTCCTCTCCTGTGCCTTTGCTTCTGTTCTCCCACTGCCTGAGCTGCCCTCCTTTGTCCTGTATCTGGCCAACTCTTAACAAGTTCATCTCCAATGGCAGCGCACGTCCTGGAGCTAGAAGGCACTCCTGATTGTTATCACCATTACTGCCCTCATGGTCCCTGCCCTACCAGCCCCCATTGCTGGTCCTTTGCTTCTCTTTGCCTCCCCATTTCTTTGTTCAGACCTCTGTCTTGGCTCTTATCACTCACTTCATGGCTGATTTGGTGCACTGGGGGCCTGTAGAATGGGTTGGGACTGGTTTCTTTTTCCACATCCTACACCAAGCCCAAACACACACATCCTAGAGGCTGAGGAGGTTTGGAGGGACGAATGAATGAATGAGTGGGGCAGTGGGGTAGTCTGGTAACTGGTGTGGTGGGTATAGGGCTAAGTGAGAGGGACAGAGCTTCCTTCAGGAGCAATGATTCTTCTGGGGTAGGGCCTGGATTTGGAATAGTATTGTAGGCGTTGGACCCTGACTGCCGGGGTCAAATCCCATCTGTCCCTCACCAGCTGGGTGATTTGGCCATTCCTTGGCTCTAGGGTCTCCATTCCCTCCTCTGTAAATTAGGGGTGACAGTAGTACCTGCTCAGAGTTGTTGGAGAATTAAGGGAGAACAAACACACCAAGCATTTGGCACTGTGTGGGTATGTGGCCAGTACACACTGTTGTTAGCTCATTGTTATGGAGTCGAGTGGAGCTGCTGGGAGAGTCTTCAGAGAAAAGGTCTGGGCGTGGGTGCCTTAGAGGGTGCCTGCCTTGCCTGGGGCTGCACAATATAGTTTCCCCACCGGCAGGTTACACAGCCCCCTACCTGACAGTGTTCAGTGAGAACTCCATTGACATGTTTGACGTGAGGAGAGCAGAATGGGTGCAGACTGTGCCGCTCAAGAAGGTGAAGGCCTGCCCAGACCCCTGGGGCCACACTGGGGTGGGCTCGGGCAGCATGGCCTTAACTCTGTGCGTGCTGCCCTAGGTGCGGCCTCTGAATCCAGAGGGCTCCCTGTTCCTCTATGGCACCGAAAAGGTCCGCCTGACCTACCTCAGGAACCGGCTGGCAGGTGAGGGAGTGCCTGTGCTTAGGTGTATTTGTACACGTGTGCCATCACCTGCACGCATGTGGGTGTGTGACCCCGCGGGCCAGCTCGTGGGCTCTGTGAACTTGTGGGTACCCCCAGCTCTCTGTTTCCGCTACAGAAAAGGACGAGTTCGATATCCCCGACCTCACTGACAACAGCCGGCGCCAGCTGTTTCGCACCAGGAGCAAGCGCCGATTCTTCTTCCGCGTATCAGACGAGCAAAGGACGCAACAGCGCTGGTGAGCATGCGCAGTGTCGCAGCTAGGGCTGGGCGGAGCCTTCCACCGGGGTTAGAGGAGGCCTTCTGGAGAGTGAGGGAGGCCGAACCTTTGTTGCCCTCCACAATACCGACTCTGCCCGCAGGGAGATGCTGAAAGACCCCTTTGTGCGCTCCAAGCTCATCTCACCGCCTACCAACTTCAACCATCTTGTGCATGTGGGCCCTAATGACGGGCGGCCAAGCGCTAGGGTGAGTCCTTCAGAACCAATCACTGGCCTCCTTGGTGTGCACAAGCCAATCGATCAAAAGTTTCCTGTTACTCGCGAGCCAATCACCGGCCTCTGGTTATCTGGCTGCTGAGGCCCATGGCCCATCCCTCTGATAAACTTCCCTTGACCTGGTCTGTTGTGCTTCCCAGTCCCAGACCCTGTGCACTGTCCCCCTAACAGGCTCCGGAAGAGAAGGGCCGAGGTGCCCGTGGCTCCGGCCCACAGCGGCCCCACAGCTTCTCGGAGGCTTCGCGGCTCTCGGCATTTATGGGCAGTGATAACCTCCCTAGAGACGCAGACTCCAGTAAGGGTAGCCCCACAGCCTCGCGGACCCCACGCCTGACCCCAGGTTCCCATTCCCTTCAGATCCCTCAAATGTGACCTAGACATTTTGTTCTCCCATCCCGCTCTTGCAGCAGTGAACAGGAAACCTTGGACATCTCTGTCCAGCGAATCAGTGTCCTGTCCCCAGGGGTCTCTGAGCCCTGCAGCCTCCCTGATAAAGGTGAGCCAGTGGGAGGGGCTTTGCCCTCACCCATCCCCAGACCAGGCAGTTCTGTCTGGCGCTGAGGCTGGAGGACAAGCTGAGCCCACCCTGCCCTCTGCACAATCTGCCTCACCCTTTGCAGGTAGGTGAGCCCTGTGGTACTCTTTGTTCTATTTTAGAGCTGATCTCACCTATAAAATGAGGTCCAGATAAGAGGGAGGGCTCAGGACAGTGTGTGGCACCTGGGAGCAGTGCCCCCAGTGGGAGCTCTAGAGAATTCTCAACCTCATTCTGGAACCCAGGGCCTTGGGAATGCTAGGCAGGCGCTCTGCTGCTGAGCTACACCCCCATCCCCTAGGATTCTTTTTTTTTCCTTTTTTGCGGAATCAGGGATTGAATTCAGGACCTTGAGGCTCAGGCACCACTGAGCTAAATCCCCGGACCCCTAGGATTAATAGAGGCCCGGCCAATGGGTTGGGCCAGCAGTCAGGATGGAGCCATCCATTCTGACTGGGAAAGGGGAACACCTGAGTACAATGAGTCCGCACTCACCCTCCAGCCAAGTCCCCAGCTGCCCCTAGCACACACCCAGAATCCCCTCCTTCCAATGCCCTTCTCCTTCCTCAATCTGATTAGCCCCCAGGCTGCCTGCCTACCACTGTCACCTTCAAAGACATGTTCCTGGCCACCCCTTCACATGGTCACCACCACCCCATCCCACCACCTCTTTCTGTGCCTGTCTCCTGCTGTGCTGTGGTTTTCTGGGTGTCTGTCCTCTTTACTTACCTGTGGGCTCCTTGGCAGGGTCATTCTGACCAGAGTAAAGCATGCTTATTGACTGAATCCAGAATGGAGTGAGTGAACAGGGCCATGGGTTCATTCACAGTTCAGTAGGCATTTGTCCTCTAGGGACCCAGCTCCCCCCACCTCACAGCATGAGTTGATTCCTCCAAGGCCCTGGGTCTCAGGAAGGTATCTGGGTGGCACTGGCCTGTTGAGGGTAGAGTCTTTCGTGCTCTTCCTACCTTATTTCTTCTCCTCTCCCTTCCAGGTCTCAGAGCGGCCCCGGAGCCTCCCTCCAGCCCCTGAGTCAGAGAGTTCCCCATGACACCCACTGGCAGAGCCCACCCCATACCAGGACAGAGAGCCGTGAGGGAGCGAAGAGCTTGAGGAACATCATTTCCCGGCTGGCCCGGGACCCATGGAGACTCAGACTCAGGGAGGGCCTGTGTTCTCAGGAGTAGGGTCCTGTCTCCCCATCTTCATCCCCCTTTCCCTCAGCTCCTGCCCTAGCCTGTGCTGGCCACTGGGGATACAATGGCCCTGGTGCTCAGGGGTAATTGTGCCAAAGCTCTTCATTCCAGTGCCAAGCCTTGGGAAACTTGTAAGCATTAGGATGAGGGATACAGGAGGACAGGGTCTCTGGAGCAGGCAGGGGTCTTGTCTGTCCAGCCTCTGGCAGAAGCCGAGATGGGGCACGTCAGGGTGTCTGCTGAAGGTTGGGGTGGGAAAGACAGGTATTTTTGTTTATTTGTTTGTTTTCTGGTACTGGAGATCGAACTCGGGTCCTTGCGCTTGCAAGGCAGGCGGCAGAACCACTGAGCTAAATCCCCGGCCCTTTTTTGTTTTTTAAAGGAAAGACAGGTTCTGATTCAGAGGAAAGGACAGAAAAGGAGGATGAAGGATGTAGGTAAAGGAGGCAAGAGAGAGCCAGAGTGAAGGAGGAGGTGGTAGTAATGGGAAGGAGAGAGAATCCTTCCAGAGGAGAGGGATAAAAAAATCAATCAAGAAGAGGAGGGTGAGACAAGACGGGGGTAAGGGCTGGGGATTTAGCTCAGTGGCACTGTGCCTGCCTTGCAAGCACAAGGTCCTGAATTCGATCCCCTGTACCAAAAAAAAAGGAGAGAGGGAGGAAAGAACTGGGGAGAGAACCCAGACCTAGGGGTCCTTTCTTTGGAGTGGGCTTGGTGGAACTGGGAACAGGACTGATGTTGTCAGTTTATCTGCCCAGGGGGAGACAATTCCCAGGCAGAGATAGGAAGGGGAGGGTATTTATAGGGGCTTCTTGGTGGGAGACGGACACCTGGCAGGGCCACCGGAGGGTCTCCAGGCACTCTTTGGCTCTTCCCAGGAAGGAGGATCCTTTTTCTCGAAGCTTCAACCAACTCTGTATTAGGGGAATATAGGGGGCATTTTATTATCAATCAATCATTATTGTTATTATATTACTATTTTTATTAAACCTGCCCCTACCAAAGTGTGGGGGACAAAATAAGTATTTATCTCCTCAAATGCCACATTCCCGGTAGGGATAGACCAGGATGCTCTGTGACGCAGTAAGAAACCAATAAAGTGGGGCCGGGGATTTAGCTCAGTGGTTCCGCTGCCTGCCTAGCAAGCACAAGGACCCGAGTTCGATCCCCAGTACCAAAAAAAAAAAAAAAGAAACCAATAAAGACAACTTTGTAAGCTGCTGGTCTCCTCACCTGGTCTGTCTTCTTGGAGTTCTGTGAGTCCGGATGAGCGCTGGAGGGGTGGGGGAGGGGTACTGCAGTTAGACTGGGGCAACTTCTTTGCATTTTCAGGAATCAGGTGACACACAAGTCCTGTGAATCAGGACAGTTTAGTAATGAAGAGACAGTTTACAAAGTATTAAGGGAGCCACCAAGAAGCAGTGGTGTCCTAGAGCACAACAGTGGAGCAGGAAGGCAGAGTGGGGCAAGAGCCATGGCTTGGGGGAGAACTTGGCTGTGACAGACCAGGCAGCCGGCACCCCCAGCAGTACATTCCCCACCTCACTGCACTCTTCCTCCCCTCTCCCATGTCCCTCTGGGCAAGCCCAGCCAGCAGCCCCAGGTCCCAGGAGCCCAGTTACTGCAGATGATAGAGAGCAGCCTCAGGGGCACAGGGGGTAAAGGTGGATTTGGAGGCCCACCCAGGGCACCTGACCTCTACTGCTCACCCAGGCAAAGCTGCTGAGAAGAGGGAGAAGGTAGGGCCTGGGAGGGATCTCACTTGTTCTTAGCTGCACAGACCCATGATGCAAGGCGGGGCTGGATGGGGAAGGAGGGTAAGGCCTGAGCTCTGAGATCAGGGCAGGCCTTGGCTTTATGGCTATGCCCTAAGGCTCAGGGCAGGGCCTAAAGCTAAGGGAACATGTGTATGGAGAAGAGGGAGGGTGCCACCATCTGGTTAGAGATGGGGCTTGGAGGTTAACCAGGAAATACTATGGCCTGGATAGGAACCCAGGCTGGAGTGTAAGACCACCTGGATTCTAGAGTAGCTGTGGTGTCATGGGCAATACCTGGCCTCTCCAAGTCTTAAACCCATCTCATGGGAGGGATTTTGGTGAGGTAAAGATGGGCAAGGTGTGATAGCACCCACCCATAACCGCAGCACTTTGGAGGCTGAGGCAGGAGGATCACTTGAGTTCCAGGCCAGCCTGGGCTACATAGCAAGACCCTGTCCCAAAAAAAACAACAACCAAACAAAAAAGGTAGGGAATAGTGGGAGTGTGTTAGGCCATTAGAATGCTGCCTCTAGAAGGGACTGAGGTAGTTCTTGTAAGAGGGAGTTATGAAAGAGCTCCTCCCTCAGCTCTGACTTTCTGTCTCACCATGTGAACTCCCCTCACCCTGCTCCCACCATGATATCATCTGCCAGGATGTCACATAGCCAAAGAGGCGCTTGCCAGAGGTGGCACCATACTGCTTGGACTTTTGGCCTCCAAAACAGCTAAATCAACTTCATTTCTTTATAAAGTAGCCAACTTCAGGTAAGTCATTTTAGTAACAAAAAACAGACTCATACACCATTTGGGAACAACTTGTAGACATCCTGCACTACATACCTAAATACTTCAGCAGGTATCTCTTTTTTTTTTTTGGTACCAGGGATCGAACTGATCGAACTCGGGTCCTTGTGCTGGCGAGGCAGGCGGCAGAATCACTGAGCTAAATCCCCGGCCCCACCAGGTATCTCTTAAGAATAAGGAGATGAGGGGCCGGGGATTTAGCTCAGTGGTTCTGCCGCCTGCCTCACCAGCGCAAGGATCCGAGTTCGATCCCTGATACCAAAAAAAAAAAAAAAAACAAAAACAAAAAACAAAAACAAAAAACGGAAAAGGAGATGGGCCGGGGATTTAGCTCAGTGGTTTCGCCACCTGCTGTGCAAGCGCAAGGACCCAAGTTCGATCCCCCATACCAAAAAAAAAGAATAAGGAGCTGTCAGCCAGGCATGGTGGCACATGCCTGTATCCCTAGCTATTTGTGAGGCTGAGACCAGAGGATCTCAAGTTCAAGGTATCTATGTAAGACCTTGTCAAATAGTAAAATATAGCCAGGGATTAAGCTCAGTGATTCTGCCACCTGCCTCGAAAGCGCAAGGTCCTGAGTTCAATCCCCAGTACCAAAAAAAAAAAGGTCTGCCAGGCATAGTGGTGCATGCCTGTAACCCCAGGACTTCAGAAGCTGAGGCAGGATGATTGCTATGAGTTTGAGGCCAGCCTGTACTATATAGCAAGACTTTGTCTCAAAAAAAAAAAAAATTTAAATAAATAAATAGGCTGAGAATGTAGCTCAGTGCAAAGCTGCCGGGTTCAATCTCCAGTACTGCCAAAGAGGGTGGGGGATTTGGACATACACACAATAAGAAGGCGAAAAGACAATAAAGGCCGAGATCAAAGTGATGTTTTGATAAGCTAAGGCAGTAATGGTGAAACTTTTAGAGACCAAGTGCCCAAACTGCGACCCAAAACCCACTTATTTATTGCAAAGTGCCAACACTGCAATTAAACTTGAATGCTAGGCTGCTGTGGCGATGCTGGGTGACTTGGCTCACGGGCCGACAGAGAAGGCCTGTGTGGCCACTGGGGAACACAACCATAGGTTCGCCAGCACTGAGCTGAGGAATGTGACCAATGGCCAGTGAGTTAAGCAAGAAGCATGGAACAGTTTCTCCTCCCAGCCCTCAGAAGGAATCAACCCTGCTGATAACCCCATCTTGGACTTCTGGCCTCTAGGACTGTGAGACAATACATTTCTATTGTTAAAGTTGCCCAGTTTGTAGTACAGTTGTTGAAAGTGTTCACTGTAGGGCTGGGGATGTAGCTGAGCGGTGGAGTGCTTGCCTAGCATGTGTGAGGTCCTGGGTTCAATCTGCAACACTGCTCCCCACAACCACACACAAAAAGAATCCTCTATTGTATTTTTGGAAAATTGAGGACCCAATTCTGTCTCGCATGCACATTGGTTGCCGTGTCTCTTTAGTCTCTTTAATATTGAAAAATTCCTTCCTCCAGCACCCCCTTTTTTTTCCATTTTGTTTTGTTAGTGCTAGGGATCAAACCCAGAGCTTCACACATGCTAGGTAAGCCCTTTCCCAATGCTCTATGTCGCCAGCAACTTTCCTCCACTTTTCGATGTCTTTTGTTGTTGATATTGACATTTTGTTTATTTGTTTTGAGACAGGGTCTTGCTATGTAGTTCAGGCTGCCTCAAACTCATGGCAATCCTCCTGCCTCATCCTCCTGAGTGCTAGGATTATAGGCATGCACCACCACGCCCAGCAGATATCCTCTACTTCTGCCTCTATTTCTTTCTTTGAGGCTTCTATGGTCCTTTTCTCTTTTTTCTCTGGAATAGTTTGTCCTCTCTAGTTCTTGTGTCCCAGTATGTAGTAGTATTTGTTCCTGAGCTAGTCTGTACCTGTGTGCTCCTTCATCACCTTTGGCTGTGTTCTCTATAGACAAGGGACAAACCCTGAGGCCAACCCCTGATGGCCACTCTGCTCTCAGCATCCAATATTCTTTTATTAAAATATTTTTATTAGTGTCTATTAATTTTACAAAATACTAGGTTTAACCATGGTATTTTCATATATGCATGTAATGTACTCTGATCATATTAATTCCCTCATTACCCTCCCTCACTTCCCCTCCATTTCCCTTATTCCCTTCCTCTTGTCAAATAATCATCTCCCTTCTACTTTTGTTTTATGCCATCCTTTTTGTGTGTGTGATTCCACATATTAGTGAAAACATGCAATACTTGTCTTCTTTCTGAGCTTTTTTACTTAACATGATCTCCAGTTCTATCCATTTTCTTCCAAATGACATAATTTCATTCTTTATGGCTGAATAATACCCCATTGTGTATAGATACAGCACCTTTCCTTTAACCTTTCATCTGTTCATGGGCACCTAGGCTGCTTCTATATTTCGCCTATTGTAAAGTGTGCCAAAATAAGCAAGGGTGTGCAGGTATCCTTGTAATATGCTGACTTTAATTATTCCTTCAGATGTATACTGAGGAGTGGTATAGCTGGGTCATATGGTAGCTCTATTTTTTTTTTCTGGTACCAGGGATCAAACTCAGGACCTTGTGCTTGCAAGGCAGGTGTGGTGCCACTGAGCTAAATCCCCGGCTCTATTTTTAGGGTTCTTTGCTGGAGGGAGTTGAGATAGGGTCTCACTATGTAGTTCAGGCTGACCTCGAACTCACTATGTAACCCAGGTTGACATCAAACCCAAAGCAATCCTCCTGCTTCAACTTCCTGAGTGTGGTGATTACAAGTGTGCACTACACCACCTGGCCTTTTT